ATGAAGGTAAAATTATTTCATTAAGCCGGGTCAAAGGAAACAATACAACAAGTGAATTTGTACTCCTGAACCTTAAGCAGGTCCAGAGAAAGAAAAAGAAAAACTGACTTGAGCTTAAAGAGAAGCAGTCAGAAACCAAACAAAAAGCAAGAGCCTAAGACACACGCAGCTGCATCATGTCCCTAGTTCTTCCCCAAACAGATCGAAATGAACTACCACTGGTCACGAATCAGCAGATCCCACCCCTGCAAAAGTTCAATCACTCAATGGTTTTTCTTGAGATTCCTTCTCTGACTATTGACATCAAGCGATGCCCATTTCAGACATTTGATTTTCTTGATAGTCCCCCTTAGATCGAAAATTCCTTGACGAAATACAATCTCATTTCGGGCAGTCCAGAGCACCCACATAACAGAATAAGGAAGGACAAGCCATACATCATCTTCGATACCTCAGGTATTGATGCAGGGCCAGGCACTTAAAATACCCCTCGGGTCGGCAGGTTGCATAACAGAATTTGCTCGATCCAGATGGCCAATTAAGGTTTCCCAAACCAACTGTACTGTAGGGCAGGAGACAAAGAGATGACAGACAGTTTCTGCAGCAGTGTTACATAGGACGCAAGTAGGATTGTCAATGACGCCCCTTCCAAAAAGCTTATCCTTTGTGAGGATTCTACCCCACATTAGCGACCAAATAAAGAACCTCACATTCAGCGTTACATTTGCTTTCCACACCACCTTGTAAGGGAAGGGATGGAGAGGAGGGTGATGCCCTCCTTGGCCAACCATACATGGACTTGACGGAGAAAACCTTATTCTTACCCCATTTCCATTCCCAAGAGTCACATCCATCACAAAGACGTTTAGGAGCTAACCTTGACAAGAGCTCTTGCATTTCATTAGCCTCTCCCTCCCTTAATTAGATTCCTTCGACGCACAAGGGGATGCCACTCTCCCTCAATGAAATGATCCGCCACTAGACCATTCTTATGGGAAGCGTGCCTATAAATCCGAGGGAAGTTATAAGCTAGCGAGGTCTCTCCGCACCATACATCATGCCAAAAACTAGTAAACCTTCCATCCATCACATTATGGGAAATGCCCTCGTAGAACTTTCCTTGGGAGGCAAGTATGCCCCGCCAAAGACTCCATCCGTATGGTTGTTCAACACTCCTTGGTCTCCCACTTTGTGAGAGAAACATAGCTAGTCAATAATCCTTTCTCAATGAGCTGTATTCTTTTGAGTTTAGACTAACACGTCTACACCATACCATTTAAACAGTTTTTTTCTGAAAGATCTCTTTGAATCAGAAGTTCATTGCCATTCAACTGATTATATATCCAACATCAACATACCACAGGGTGACAGAGCTGAAAAACCTTGAACCTGTGCTTCACAAATGCAGTACGTAGTTTAACTAAAATTCGGTCTGGTCTCATGAAGTCTCAAAAACGCACATGCTATTCGCGATCACAAGATTTATACACAACTATTTTTCTATAGTTATTAATTAATCAAATTGTTAATCTTAATTTCCTTAATAGTATTTGTATATTTTCTTGGAGCACAATGCAAGGTACTTGGATGAGTTTAATCATTAATTTACCATTTTTCCATAGCATTTTGTAAACTAACCTAGGGTAGTAGGGTATACTAATTTAATTCATTTACATGATTTACCATTAGCATTAGCAGGTTAATGTGAAACGCGCAGGGGCAAAGCAACCCCAAATCAAGTTCTTGAGCTTGTTAGAACTTAGAAGCAGGTTTGAGAAAAAATCAGCTTGGAATTACACATGACTTGGTTGTGAAGGAAATACAGAGGTAAAATCATGTTTGCACATTTGTTGCCTGGTTCATGAAAAATCCATACAAGTCGATGCATTTTGTGTGAAACTTATTGAGATAATAGAAGTTGCTTTGTCTTCTTGAGATTATAAAGTTGCTTTGTATTCGTATATCAAACTTAAACTTGAAAGGCTAAGAATATGTTGAGATATTGGAGTAAAATTGACTCAACTTGCAATAAAAGTTTCTATTAGGTCGAATGTTTGGTGCACTATTAAATGACACTATATAATTGCTGTAAACTTTTGAGATAAGAGATGATCAAAATCAACAGTGTAATACAAGATACTCAAGATACTCGAGTTTGATCATTTTCTCCGTAGCATTTTACTGATTACATATAAATTGTTTATCTTCACAGTTTTAACTTCCTTTATTCCATTAATTTTCTTAATTAGTTTGATAAATATCTGCACACAAGATTGATTCATATTTAAAACATTAAAAAAGAAATGACAACTCAACTGCAAAGTGCAGATGAAATCAAACTACAATAATTTAGAAAGACTATAGGAAACTGTTTAGATTACAGCAAAGTCAAATTCCTATTGATATCAGTCTTTTTTATATCTCCAAATAACCACCACAACTCATTGGCAGCTGACTTCCCAAGTAAACCTAGTAGACCAACTCATACCTTTAATTGATCTCTTATATACAATCAATCAAACCAGTGTTTTATGTGTCCAAACATTGTTATGATTGTTTATAAATCAATGTTAAAGTTAAAATGGCATGATACATATGACATACATATTCATCAAGTATGATTGTCCTCCGCCTCTGCAAATTTTCTTCATTGAAAATAACAGTGAATTAACACAACAAGGGGTGAAAGGGATCATAGTCTACTATTGTGTGT